TCGGCGAGGTCCGGCGACGCGGCGAAGGCCGCGGCGAAGTGGCCGTCCGCTTCGGCCCGCGTTTCCAACGCGTCGGACTCGAGGCAGCGCATGGCCTCGACGATGCGCGCCGCGGCCGCGGGCTCGACGGTGGCGAGCGCCGACATGCGTCTTCGCACGCGCTTTGGTGCTCCTCGTTTTGCAGGTCTAGTGCGCTACGTTTGCTCGCAGGAGCGGCTTGTGTCGCGCTGCATAGCCTCCGTCGCATGCAAAGCCTCCATCGCAGAGTGCAAGGGCGGCTCCTCGGACTTGATGAGCTCTCAACGCTGGCGAGCTGTGGCAGATCTCGTCCTTAGCACAGCCTTTGGCGCCGTCGCGCGCGCCGCTCCAGCAGCGCCGCCCATGACCATGGACCCGAGCTCCGCCGCGGCCATCGCGTCGCACAGCGGCGAGCTCTTCGAGGAGTCCGGCGCCGACGACATCGTGCGGCGCGAGCCGCGCGCCGCGCCGCAGGGCTCGTCGTCGCAGCGGCGCGCGCTCGACGTCGCCGACGACATGGTGCTCGAGTACATCGCGTTCCGCGGGTTCACGGAGACGTTCCGGTCCTTCAGCCTCGCGCGCGCCGACGACCGCGCGAACCGCGGGTCCTTCGACGCGCGCTTCGCCGTGGACGCGCTCCTGCGGCCCGCGCGGGATCTGGACGCGCTCGGGCTGCTGGACGCGTGGGACTTCCTCGAGGCGCGCTTCTTCGGCAACCTCGACGCGGAGCTCGCCGCCCACGTCGGCGGCCTGCGCTGCGGCGTCTACCGCCTCTTCCTGCGTCACCGCGGTCCGCGACGGCCAGCGCCACTCGGCGACGGCGCTGCTCGCGGAGCTCGCGCGGCGCGACGCCGAGGACGCGCGGGGGCGGCCACCGGCGCGCGCCGCCGCCCCGGGCGACGACGGCGGCGACCGCGCGCTCTGGTTCCTCGACGACGGCGACGACGGCGCGGGCGCCGCGGCGGACGCGCGCGGCGGCGCCGCGGACGCGCGCAACGGGTCGCGGTGGCGCGAGTGGTTCGCCATGCCCCACCTGCCCGAGCCCCACAAGGACCCGCTCTTCGCCGTCTACTTCACGCAGAAGTGGCGCGACGCCTTCGTCGGCAGCCTCCGGAACTTCCTCGCGACGGTCTTCGCGCGGGCCCGCGTGGAACTCGAAGCTTCAAGATGACTTCAATGTGTGCGTCATCGAACGGTCTGGACCGGACTCCTTCGTCGTGCTTCGAGAACTCGACGAGAGCAATCGATCCGTCCAAAAATCGGCCGAATCGACTTGGAATTGACCGAGCTCGAGAGTTTCAAAGTCTGGTCGGGACGTCCCGAACCGGCGGTCGATTTCCACGCAGGCGCAGGCGCCGCCGCCGAAGCTGCTCCTCCTCCAGAAGTGGCACCGGTCCAGCGCCGTCGCCGCGCTCCGCTCCGAGCTGCGCGAGGCGCGCGCCGCCAAGGACGACCTCGCCGCGGCCGCGCGCGCGTCCGCGGCCGCGCGCGACGGCCTCGCGGCCGTCGTCCGCGACTTCGTCGCCCACGCGCACCACGAGCACCTGCGCGACGCCAACAAGCTCGCGCGCGGCGGCCTCTTCGACGAGGACCCGGACGACGCGCGCGCGACGACGCGCGAGCGCGGCGCCGACGTCCTCGAGTTCGCCAAGAAGTGCGCGCGCGACGCCGGCGGCGACGCGCGCGACCGCGACGCGCAGTGCGCCGCGCTCTGCGACAAGGCCGCCGCCTACCTCAACCTCATCAAGGGCACGGGGCACGTGGCGCCGCCGACGGAGGTCTAACTACTTGCCCCCCCGGCCCTTGCCCCGGCCGCCGCGCCCCTTGCCCCGGCCCTTGCCCCGGCCGCGCCCCCCGCCGCCCGCGCCGCGGCCCGGGGCGGCGCCGGCGACGGCCTGGACCGCGCCCGCGCGCCGCTTGAAGGCCGCGGACCGCGCGGAGTCGCCGTTGAGCCGCCGCGTCGCCTTCTTCCCCCGCTTCCGCGCGTCCCGCTCGACGAGCGCCTCGGCGCGCGCGCGGTCCTCGGGCGACAGCGCCGCCGGGTCGGCGGCGAGCTGCGCGCGCAGCTCCATGTTCCGCGCGATGCGCGCGTCGTCGGCCTGCGCCGCCCACGCCGTCGCCGCGACCTTGGGCTTCTTCGCGGCCGGCGGCGGCGCCGCGGTCACGTCGCAGCCGAGCGCCGCCGCGCGCTTCGCCGCGCGCCGCGCGATGGCCTCCGCGGACCGCGGCGCGCGCTCCGACTGGGGCGCTTCCGACGACTTGGTTTTTTTTGACGACTCGGGCTCGTCGGACGCCGCGGCGGGCGCGTCGGCCGCGGAGCGCGCGGCCGCGGCCGCGGCCTCCGTCCGCCGCGCGGCGCGGCGCTCCATCGCCGCCTCCGAGCGCAGGCCCGCCTTGCGCGCCTTGAGCTTCTCCTGCAGGCTGAGGTGTTCTTGTTGTTTCGGCGCCGCCTTGGCCGGCGCCGGCGCCGGCGCCGGCGCCGGCGCCGGCGTTGCCTCCTTCGCTTGCCGCTTGGCCGCGCGGCGGGCCATGGCTGCCTCCGAGCGCGGCGCGCGCTCCGACGGCATGATTGCTGGCGTACGATTGAGCAGACGACGAGTTCAGGAGCCCTCACGGCTACACGAGCAGACGACGAGTTCAGGCTTCTCACGACTCGAGCATCGCCGCGCAGGAGCAGCAACACCCCTTCACCATCTCTACACTTTGGCATCTTGAGGCAGCCCCGTCCAGCCAAGCATTGGCGCGGGCTCACTCTCGGCGCCTCGATCCCCCGGCCGGGCTCTCGGGCGCGCGACCGCCTCCCCCCGTCCGCGCCGCCGTCTCGGGCGCGCGACCGCCGCATCCTCCCCGCGTCGCCGGCATGGCGGCGACGGAGAACATGAAGCTCGAGCTCCAGAGCGCCATCCTCGAGGAGGCGATTGGCCAGCGGCTGCTCGACGGGAAGCGCGAGCCCTGCGAGATCCCCTGCGCCGACTTCGACGCGCGGCCCGGCGTCCCCTTTTTTTACCGTCCGAGCCCGGTCCGGGACGCGTCGCCCGTAGGACACGCTCTTCAAGCTCGTCGTGCTGCCGGGCCAGGAGAGCGTGCTCACGCTCCACGTCGCGCTGCCCTGCTACGACCAGCTCCTGCAGCACGGCGGCGCCGAGTGCCTCGAGACGACGTACTCGGGCATGGTGAGCCAGCCCGAGCCGGGCTACTCCGTCGCGCTGAGCGCGAACGCCGACGAGACGTCGTCGCCCGAGGACCTCCTGTCCAAGCTCGTGCTCGTGAAGCGGAACCTGATGGGCGCGCCGTTCCAGAAGGCCTTCTCGTCGCTCGCCGCGGGCACGGCCAAGGACCTCCCCGTCGCGCGGCTCCCCTGGCGCAAGAACGAGTCCGTCTACATCGTCGCGGGCAACGACCCCGTCCGCTTAGCCCGCGCCCCCGCACTGTTCCCCCGTCGCCCCGTCCGACGTTTCTCGTAGGCGATGCCGAGCAACTGGGACCGCGTGACCATCGTCTTCTCCGTCGACTTCCCCGAGGAGAGCGACCGGGCCTACTGCCGCATCTTCCTCCAGCAGCTCCAGGACGTCGGCCGCAAGGTGAACAACGCGCCGCCGGTGGTCTTCAGCGAGGCCAAGGAGCCGCCGCTCGAAATCCGCGACACGTGCACCGAGAGCCCCCTCATCGTCGGCTTCGTGTCGTTCACGATCTTCGACCACCACGTGAAGACGCCCGCGAAGCTCGCCAAGACCATCGACAACCTCATCGGCTTCCGCAACTACCTCCACTTCCACATCAAGGCCGCGAAGACGAACCTCCACATGCGCATGCGCCGCAAGGTCAACAGCTGGATCCAGATCGTCAACCGCGCGATCATGACCGCGGACAAGCCCAAGGACATGAAGACGTCCTCGGGGAAGACCTTCACGCGCAAGTGACAAGAGTGCCGCCCGCCGGCGGCGCCGCCGCCCCGAGTAACGCACGCGGCGCGCGCGCGAGGGCGAAAACCCCGAGAGGAACGACCCTCACCCCCTTGTTAGAATCCGCGCCGCTGCATGCGGCGCTGCATGTTGCGCATGGGCCGGTTCGCGCGCGAGTCCTTGGGCGGCCGGCTCGCCGGGTCGCGGCTCATGAGGAAGGTCGCGTCCTCGAGGGACTCGGGCTCGGGCCGGCCCAGCGCCTGGTTCCGGGTGAGCCAGCGGTGGAGGAGCACGGTCTGCTCGTAGCGCGCGAGCACGTCCGTGACGAACGGCACGGTCTGCTCGCTCGCCTTGCTCAGCCGCGTCAGCCGCAGGCCCTCGACGGCGACGGCCCCGTCCAGCTCCTCGTCCGTCATCGCGTCCATGACCCGCATCGACTCCTTGAGCTCGACGACCTGCGCCGACGACCGGATGCCGGGCAGCATCATCTTCCAGCTCTCGCCGTCCATGCCCTCCTGCAGGTTCACCTTGAAATTCCGCAACGTCCACCGGGGCGTCGCGTAGAACGCGCTCGCGAGCTTCGTGAAGGCCTTCTTGGCGGCGGCCATCGCTGACCGTGCGGGGCGATGACGCGCTCGGAAAACGCGACGCTCGTGCAGAAGCCCGTGGGTATTGGCGTCGGAGCCGCGGGCGTCGGCGGGAAGCTAAGGCGTCGGCGCGGGGCTCGCGGGTGGCGCCGCGGTCGGCGTGGCGACGCAAGGCGAGGCGGCTCCGCAGACGGAGCCTCGCGACTCGAGCGCCACGCCGTTGGCACGGCGTTGCCAGTCGTCGTCGTCGCCCGGCGTCGTCCGTCGCGGACGACCTCGTACTCGCGGGCGGGTGCCTCGTCGCCGGCGCGTCCTACTTCGCTGTGCACAGCACCACCGTCGCGACCGCGGACGCGCTGCAAGTCGAGCTCATCAACGCAGCGTTCGGCATGTCCTTCGGCCGCGCGAAGCGCGTCGCGGCGCTGTCCATCCGCGACGTCGACACGACGAGCCGCTCCGACTTCCTCGAGCTGCGCGCGCACACGCGGCGCCTCGCGGACGAGAACGAGCGCCTGCGGCTCCGCCTCGCGCGGTGCATCGAACCCGACGACGGGGCGGCGCGGAGCCGGGGCGCCGCGCGGCCCGCGGCGGCGCGGCGGCCGGGCTGCG